ATTTCTGTGATTGGAGTAGTTTCTGCTCAATTAATCTTTTTTAGTCTTAAGAATAGTCAAGCATGAGGAGAAAGTACCCGTTTGTTTCCCAGCTGGAGTTCTTAGGTCTGGTCAAGCCAGCTAACACAAAGGAAACCTGGCTATGTTAAACTTCCTTCATAGGTCAAACCCCGGGAAAGATATATATGGTAACAACAACTGTTTGGATGAACTGTATCCAGACCAGACTCAAATTTATGATCTTTCCTTATTTTCATTTATTGTACGCGTTTAGTTACAATATTGTGTAACCCAGTAGTTGTTGTTTCTTTGGTTCTTTGGCTTTGTTTGGTTCAAGCAGATGAAATTGTAGATTTTAGCTGTTTTTACTGGTGTGTTCCAGGTTGGAGGGAGATGGGGCTTTCATTAGCGCACAGGGACTGGTCTGGACGGGGGAGTTCCACGGCAAAGCAGCGCTTGGACTCAAATTGGAACACAACCTTTAGGCAAAACAAACACCACACTTTGGCACATTTATCTATAACATTAAAATGTAACTGCATCAGACAACAAACTTCTTCTGTATTTTGTTTTTCATACAAGATCTTGTGCACATTTTCTTTCACTTCATATATTAGTGGGTGACAGTCGCTGGCATAAGTGAGTCAAGTATCTACAATACTGTGTCTTGACTCTTTGTGAGAGTGAAGGACAAGTGCAGGGCAATTTTATTATCACTGCACCACCATCCGATCCCAGAGGGGCTCATGTCCCCATCCATAACAGCTGTACCCAAACTGCTGGAACATTGGCTTGGGGAAGAGTGAGTATGTGGTCATTTTGACCTTCAGTGTGTGTACACACAGCTTTGTGTGTGAACTGGCTTTCTGCCCCACACAACCCCTCCGACAACTCGGCTAGCAAATTAAAATGAGTCGACAAACAAACACAAGTGTTCAACACTGTTTAATAAGCAACTCTGCAACTCTGATATCGTAATCTGTCACTCTATCGTATAATGCCTCTATGGATGTGTAATTGCACATACCCCTGAACATCTTCAGTGTCGAGTATTTACTGGATCTAGAATATGCAGATATGGAAGTGTGAGTAACAAAAAACACATATATACGGTAATAACGTCCATACAATACTAAACACTTCTGGTGAAATATTACCCCAGATACAATAAACGGCAATTTTCACTGATTGTACAGTTTTCAGGTAGAAAAAAAAACAGTTTTTTTTTGTATTCCAAGTCTTCAGTACGGACTTGAATGCAGATAGCAGAAACGAGAATAAAAACAGGAAATGGCACTCAAATTTGGCACAAGATACAAAAAGAAATAAACATTACATCTGAACTTTAAGTGCGACCAACACTCACAATGAGCTACTGTGTTTTTGTGACGATGCACAGCTTATGCAGTAAATGTTTAGAGGTTCAGGTGTATCAGAATGTATATTCCTCTTTACAGGTAGTGAGCCAGAGAATGGCAAGGAAGCTTTTAAAACTGTTGTCATATATATATATATATAT